CTTCCCTAGTATTACGGCAAAAAATGTAACATTTATACTTTTCTAATCACTAAGTAACAGCACAAGCTAGAGGAGACTCTATAGTACCATTGCTCTGACTCTGTCTTACAGATGAAGAAAGCAAAGCCCAGATTTCTGAGACCACTGCTCCCCTCTCATAGTGTCTCACAGCCACAGGGAAGATAACCCCAGTCTTGTGACTTTCAGTGACATAGCAGCTGTCTGAAGAGGCTTGCATGTCTTGTGGCAGAGCTACCTAGGGGCCACTTACCTTCTTCAATGTTGTAGGTACCTTTTAACACACACACACACACACACACACACACACACACACACACACAAAGCCCACATGCCCAAGACTCTCTTTTAAGAGACCAAGTCTCATTTGTTAAGGGAGTAGATGAAAGTGGCTACACCTGGCTTTGCTCCGTAAAGCATTGCTGGAGCATTATTGCTATGTTGTTGTAAGGTACAAGATGGTCTGTCACCCTGGACCGTATGCACCACGAGGACAGAAGTATTATCTTAATCTCCCTTCTGTCATTAGTACTTACAGCACATTTAATGTTTAAGTTTAGTAAGCTGTTAAGTAATGATTTTCTCTCTTCTTAAAACTCTCCATTGACTATATTATACTTGGAATAAAATCCATACTTATTTGACCCACAAGATGCTTCTTGATCTGGTCATGCCAACATTTCTGGTCTTACCTATTTATACTTCTTTCCCTTGCAAACCACAATGGCCACTTTCATCACTCACCAGATGCAGCAAGTTTATTCCTGTTCCACTGGTTAGGCCTTCACCTGTCTCTTCTTGACCTTATCCCTTCTTATTTCCCTATCCTTCTTTCAATCACTGTCATTTAACACCCACCATCCTTCACATTTACTTGTATTTTCTTACCTATACACATGTGAGCTTCATGAAATAAGATACCCTTGCTATCTGGCTCACTGTTGCAATTTCTTAGTCACTTGGTCAGTATCCAACACATAGTAGACACTCAATAATGTATGTTGAAAAAAATGAATTCCTTCCACCAGTGCTACCCACCCTTCTCACTATACTCATGTAATACAACAAGTATTTGAGGAATAAAGAAAAATTAAGACTGAATTAATCTTTCTTTTAGATTCAAGGGAGAATTTTGTTTGGGATGAAATATTTTATCTCTGGCTAGAAACAGAGCCAAAAACTTGGTAAAATAATCAGAAAAGCCAAAGGCAACCAGTGGTGCTACTGGGTGCTTACAAAGTTGCCTGGCTCTCCAATTTGTTTGCATCTTAGTTTATGTTGCTTTAAACCAGTGCGCCAAAATTACAGCCTCTCACTGGCTGGCACATAAATTTTTAACTTTAAAACCATTTTATTTCAAGCTTGACAAATAGCTTTTGTCGCTAGGTAGAGTAATTAAGGGAGCAGTATTGGCCGTCACCAGACTGGGCAGACATTTCTTTCTCTTCAGTGTTTTGTTACCTGCCTGATGGATTTGGCAGAACTCATAGAAAGGCTCAGGGCTGAGTTATGTACATTCTCTTCTGGCAGGAGCTTTGTCAGGAAGATGTATCACTCCCTCTCTACTGAGCAGCCTCTGTTTTCCAAGAACCATAGCAAGCATGCCTGGCACAAGTGCCCAAGCTCCTCTCTTCATCTCTTCTATTACTGACAGTGGACAGATACCAGATGAAAGTGATGGATAATCCTAGCTGAGGTTTTCATCCTGCTTGACCTCCCCAGTTTGTTCTAGCTTTACATTCCAATGCGATGTTGTATTAATAATTCAATATAAATTTCAGAACAAATGCTTCAGTGCTCTGGAACTACCATATTGTACAAGTGCGGATAAAAAGTTCAATGGGCTTTGCAAAGTGTATTTCAAGAAAAAGGGAGAAAAATCAAGGATAATCATAGATGATTAAAGGTAGACTACTTGAGAGTTTGGCTGCATCACTGGATACATGAAATGTGAAGTGATTCTTTTATGATAACTCAGCTAATCAATGGTACGGCTGTGTATATGCAGTCATGTTTTGCTTCACAGTTTGACAAGGTCTTACAAATGTGTTGTTGAGTGGTTTGATCTTTGTGCTAGTATCATAATGTACTTGTATAAAACTAAGGTCAATCACTTGACATGGCCATTTAATGAAATCAAGGAAGATAAAACACAATAAGTATGTGTCACATGCTGCCAATATAGCACAGCATATTCTTTCACAATAAACTATTTTTTGGTGGGAAAGATATATATTCAGAGCAAGATTACTAGATATTATGACTATATAGTTTTAAATTTTTTGAGAGACCAACATAGTGTTTACTAGGATGACTACAATATTTTATTATAAATAAGGTAGACTTGCTTATTTTCTGATAACAATTTATTGAATTTCAAACGAGTGATGCATAAGAATTCAAATTTCTCCACATCTTCACTAACATTTGTTATTTTCTTTTATTTTTTTCTGTTGTTAGTTTTGGAGCCGCCATCCTAATAGACGTGAATTGTTATCTCATTGTAATTCTGATTTATATCCTCCTAACAATTATGATATTAAGCATGTTTTTTTATGTGGTTATTGATGAAACTTCATTTTTTATCAAAAATTGTATAAGCGCCTTTTATAATAAATTCTACACTTCCCCTTTCCCTCTATACCTTGATGTTCCTTAATGGTCAAGATTAAATTCTACCAAATCTATGTAGGTATTCTCTATATTCCAATTCTTCCAGACATTTTGCATCTGAACTATTTCTTCCTTTCATTTCAGAATGGCTACAAAGTCCATGTCCATGAAACTAATTATTTATTGATTATACACCGTGAGATTCAATTCAAAAAATTGACAATGTCCATGAAAGAAAACGTTCAAAATACTATGGAGGAGATATATCTACATGGAGGGAGAAAAAGAGAGAGAGACAGACAAAGACAGAGGGAGAGAGAGAGAGATTTTATCAGAAAGTATGTTCCTCCACACTATCTTAAAATATGTTAAATTATGGATATTCATTGCTCTGCAGGACTGCATTTGTTTTTTATGGACATGTGTTTCATTCACAACAGTGGAAACACTCTGAAGTTTTTATTTTGGGGCTCAATGGCCATCAAAAACGTATTAGTGGAATTTTCTCGAAGAGTGGATTTGCTACTATAAACACAAAAGAATTTTCACAGAAATGTGATTCTGGACAATTTCAAGAGCCTAATCAGTCTTTGTAAGGACCAGAGTTTTGTTACATTAAGTTGTCCCAAGTGTGGATTTAACTTTCTATTGTAAATTTTTTGGGGTCCTTTCCCTTTGGACGGGAGATTAAGACATGGAAATGTAAAGTATCTTATTGCCATAATGAAGCACTAAAAATAAAAAAGTAATAATAAAGCCCTGTGCTCATAAAGATATTTTTCTTGACCAAATAGTCTACCAATTAGGTACTTGCATAGTTTCGAAAAATGCTGACTTCAGTTTTTCCTCTAGGCATTTATTATTCAATAAACTGTTGCTTTTCCTGGGAAATACAATTTCACATTTTCCTTATGGCACTTTAAGCACAATTAAAATTAATTTATATGGACATTTTTCCTAAGCATATTAGTTACTGTCTTTCTCCGGAAGTACATGTCTATATTTGCCCTTTGTGTCATTCTAAGTGGTGATAACTGGATAAGAAATTTAATTCACATCTCATATAGTCCAGGCATACACCTTTGCACATAGTGAGTGTTGCTGAGTTGGCTTCACACTCTTTGCTACTTCGTTTTTACATCCGCATAGGGGCATTTATGTTTCTTTCAGCGAGAGGTCAAACTGTGTGCCCTTCAAGTTCAAGTGTTCGAATTCTAAACACCTCAGAATGTGGCCATACTTGGTATTCGGTCCCCTGGCAGATGTGATTATCTAAGATGAGATCATACTGGAGCAGGGTGGGACTCTGATCTAATTTGATATTAGATCCTGTCTACAGAGGAATTTGGATTTAGATACATATCAACAAAATACGATGTGAGTATGGAGGTAGAAATCATAACGACACCTCACTAAGAAACATCAGTGAATGCTAGGAAACTGCTAGAACTTACATGGGTCAACTGGACCAGATCCTCTCCAACAACCCTACCAAAACTCTGATCATTGATTTGTAGTTTCCCAAATTGGAAACAATAAATGAATGTTGCTTAAACCACTCAATTTGTGGCACAAAATTAATAAATTATCCTATGTTTAATCCATTGCATATTACTGCATGAGAGGTACAATAAGATATATCCAGAATATAGGCAATTTATCCAGCTAACTGCCTCCTTTTGCCAAGCATAGTGGTGCACACTTAAAATCCCAGTACTTGAGAGGCTGAGGCAAAAGGACTGCCCTGAGTTCAAGGCCAGCCTGGGCTACATAGTGTGTTCAAAACCAGCCTAAACTACATAGTAAGACTCTGTCTCAGAAAGAAAGAAAGACAGAGAGAAAGAGAGAGAGAGAGAGAGAGAGAGAGAGAGAGAGAGAGAGAACTCCTCCTTTTGTGGCACCTTTATAGTTACACTTTTCTTCACAACTCAAAACTCCAAACTAGGAAGAAATGTCAAAGTTTACAAAGCTGTCATCATGTAAGAATATACAAAGAAATTTTAGCATACATTCAAAATAAATCCTAGAAGCCTCTATCAGCTATGTACATTGACTTCCCAGCAGATTTGGATTGGATATGTAAGTTTTCTTTATCCTTGTAGTCAATTTTTTAAAAGAATTTATTTAAAGAAGTCAGTTGTGATGGAGCTACTGTATAAGAGTAAGTAAGCCCATGTAGCTTTATTTATTTACTTATTTATTTTTTGGTTCCGGGAATCAAACTCAGGATTTTGCGCTTGCCACTGAGCCATAACTCTGGCCCCTTTGAGGTCAGTTTTCATGTTAAGAATTGTATCAGTCAGGTTTACTAAAGAAACAGATATAACACAAGATAAATACATGCATAAAAAATTGCAAGATTGGCTTACCATGGTCAGCCACAAAGTCACGAGGGAGCATGCAGAGGGTATCTGCGTGCTGGAGGTTGAAAGGTCAGCCCAAGAGCTGGAGCTCACTGCAGTGTCCCGTGCCAGTCTGTATCAGAAGGCCAATGGGTCTAGGACAGAACACTGAAGAATCTACAATGGAAGAATGAAGATTCTAGGATGAAGGATGAAGAGTTTCAGGCAGAAGCTAAAGAGTGTATGCAGAAGCCAGGAGACAAAAGCAAAGACTGGAGCTTCTCTGAAGAACCCACAACCAGTCCCTCCTCATTTGCCTTTTATTGTATGCAGGCTGCTCCCCTGGGGTGGGTGTAGCACTCACACCATCTGCCTGCCCTCCTCTTGCACAGGCTGAGGATGTTCCAAACTAGGGACCCTGGCCCCCTGCTGATCTCTTAGTTAAACTTCTGAACTTCTCAAATTGACACAATGAACAATATCCTAGAAAGGTAATTGCTTGTCCTCTATACCCCAAGATGTAGAGCTGCTGAGTCACTTACTTAGACTCCTAGACTTCTCATGTTAACACAATGTATGAACCATAATAAGAATATCTATGTCAAGAAAACCTTTTCTGAAACCACCTAAAATGACTTCAAAACTTAAAAAGAAAGATTATTTGAAGTTTCTAGGGTATGGGGGAGGGGTTTCTTCATTTGTATTTTTCAGTTCTCTTCACCATCTTTCCATAGATCTACCATGTAATTCCCATATCATGACACTTGCAGAGCCGATGTATTTTTTAACTAACTTGAGGTCAACTTAAAAAGACAATGCATGTCGCCTAGCTTTTTCTACCTATCAGGCATGGAAAATGCTGCCTAATTATGGTAGGTCTAAGGAGAATAGAGTATCCATTCCTACAGCAGTCTCCTTCATTGCCTGATTGCCTGATGCCCATTTCTTGAACACCATTGTTACATGTAGTATGTCTGTCTGTATTTGACGTTCCTGAGCAGAAGATGAATCTGGCTTGTTGTAATGGATAGAGTGGAATTTCAATTTGATTGGCTTTGAGGTTCACCCCTGAGATTAGTGGAGCACATTTCTAGGTGTATCAGAGTGGGTCAGGGAGATATGGCCTTGGTGTCTATGTCTGGTCCCTTGTGCTGTCCACTCTGGTGCTCTCTCTGCCCCACCACCATGAGCTAAGCAGCTTTGCCTCACTACATCCTTCTTGCATGGTGTTTCTGCCTGCCTATCATGGACTGAAACTGTAAGTCAAATTAAACCTCTCCTTCTTCAAATTGTGGGTGTTGGATATTTTGTTCCAGACAAGAAAGCTGATAAATACGCCACTGTTATTCAATCTTGGCCACAACAGGAATCTATTTGATTTTTTAAATATACATATCTAATTTATTTGACATATATCTTTGATTTTACAAAAACAATGACCAGTTCATCATGACACACATGAGTGTGTCATGCACTCATTGAATTACGATGTTAGGTCAACTATAACCTCACTAGGCAATTTCTCAGGTGCATTACAGTCTTATGGGACTCCTATATGTGTATGCAAACATTTGAGTATGAAACATTATTATACAGTTTGTAATTGTATCTACTTCTCCATGTAAATGTCATGAAAATAAGTTTTGATAACTTGCATCCAGTCAAATAGAGGTTGCTAACAAAGTCTTGATTTGTGCTGGTATTCAAACAATTGAATGTGGATGTCTTGTGCTCTAGGAGAATGATTTGGAGATGACAATGTACAATGTATGTACCATTGTTGCCTTCTGAATGACATATTTTGAATTTTGTTGTAGTCGTTGTCTTCTTCTTCTTGTCCTCCTCCTCCTCCTTCTCTTCCTCCTCCTCTCTTCTTCCTTCTTTTCTTCCTCCTCCTTATCCTCCTCCTTTTCCTTCTCCTCTTCCCCCTCCTCCTCCTCCTTCTTCTTCTTCATCTTCATCTTCTTTTTCTTTCTTTTTATACTTGAAATGGATTTGGAAAAACTGTCTCACCTAGAATAGATCCTCCTTTCCTGTTGGTTCATAGATTCAAATCATTCCCATAATCAATCCCATAATGATTTAAGACAGGAGCATGTCCATTTTGTGCAGTTGAGCTTTACATCCAGCAGTTATTTTGATGCATCTTCAAAGGATCCTACCAAAGCAGCCTTTGCCAGAATAAGAATATCCTGTGGAAACATCTTTGTGGAATATCTTTGTGGGGAGCACTATGCTACTGGGATACCACCCACATGAGGAATCCATGCATTTAAAGGTCCTCACTGAGGATGGGGTGGTCAGTGTACCAAAGAACTCCCTGCTATGCGTGTGAGCGCCTACCTTGTAGTAGAGAACAAACAGGAAAAGATACAACCTAACACATGACATGTCTGCCCTTTTCTTTTATTCCTAACTGAACACTGGGAGGGAAGGGAGAAACAGAAAGAGAAGAATAGAGGATAAAAAAGCAAAACTGCCCTCTTCTGCACTACAGGGCTTGTATCCTTAGCATGGGGGAGGTAAGAAGTGGTTAAGGCATCAAACTTTGCATTCTTAGTCAGAATTTGGTCATGTCTCAGTGGATATTGTTGTAATACTTAAAAGAGACCAGAAAGCAATGGATGCTGCCTGATAGCTTGCCAAGAAGTATGAGAGAACCTATTGCTTTCTAGTAGTTTTATTAGCTCTTTCAGGTACTACTAGTTCAGTAGGAGTGGAAAGCAGTTGGTGGGCGAATGCAGAGACTGTGAAAGTAAACATAAGATGGAAAAGCTCATCAAAAATGTATTCTGTTTGTGACAAGTTTAAACTTTATTCTGTGGATGTTTAGGAAACAGTTTCTTACTCAAAGCAATGACATCAGTTTTAAAAACATTCAGATATTTATGATGCACCGACTAGAGGTCAGACCCTGTTCTAGGAACAGAGGCTGCATCAGTAGGCAAAACAGACAATGAACCCTTGTGATGTTTATATCCTAGAGGAAATTGACGAATGATAATGAACACAAGTGTCAAATATCTAGTATGTTATAAACTGGAAGGTGCTGTGGAGAAGCAGCAGGGAAAGAAAAATTGGAAGAGCTGGAGAAGACAGGATAGAATGCATTTCCTTGGCTTTTATTATTAAATTTGGGAACCAGGTAGGCAATATTGACAAAGTGACATTTCACCAAGGACTTGAAGGAGATGAGTAAGTTAACTGTGTAAACAGCAGAAAAGATCAGCTGAAAGGTCAGGAAGAGGACTGTGCCTCTTGTGTTTAAATAGCAATAAATGAGGAACCCATGGTGACTGCAATACAATAAGAAGAGGAGTTGAAGAAAATCGAGTCAGACAGCACCACAGCAGATCTCACAGGGTCTTGTAGAACTTTCATTATTATTCTGAATGAGGTAGGGTGACATAATCTTTCATATGAAGAGTTAAAATGTGCACAAGCAAAACACAGGGGAGCATCTTGATTTGAATTACACCGTAAAGGATAACTCCAGCTCAAAAATAAGCTATGGTGGTTGTGGTGGTGAAAGTGGAAGAAAGGGACAAGTTACAGGCAGGGAGATAGCAGGCTTTTGCAGGTTTCTAAGTGAGCACATATTTAAAAACCACTCTGGATACAATGGAGAGAATGGAATATAAAAAAGTGAGACAGAAAAGGTCAGGATTAGTTAGGAGCCTATTGCAATAGTTCATCCATGACATAGCTAAGAATTTGAACATTTCTGGCATGCAACTTGTTCATTTATACTAGAACAATTCAGTTTTACAGAAAAGATGAATGAAATGATTGTAGCAAAGATTTCCAAAGAAACAAATCTAAAAGCTAACCCATTAGAAAGTATATCTCAATGCTACCTGACACAGACACAGACAGACAGACAGACAGGATATTAGGAGGGGGCTTTCAGAGACATCTCATCTCATCAACTTACAGAAACTTACTGTTTTTGTTTTATTATTTAGATCTTTAATCCATTTTGATTTTGGTTTAGTGCATGGTGAAAGATACTGTTCTAGTTTTAATCTTTGGCATATGGAAAGCCAGTTTTTCCAGCATCATTTATTAAAGAGCTATCTTTCTTCCAGTGAAGTTGTTGGCTTCTTTGTCAAAGACAAGAGGTCTGAATATGTCTGGAATTGTTTACACATATTCTAATATGTTCTCTATTAAGACCCAATCCAAAAATTGGCATCTGGAGATGAATACACAGTTTTCAGATGAAGAAATACAAATGTCAAATAAATATATTAAAAAATGTTCATCATCATTGGTCATTAGAGAAATGCAAATTAAAACAACACTGAGATTCCATTTCACTCTAGAAAGAAAGGCCAGGATAAATAAAACTACCAACAACAAATGCTGGAGAGGCTGCAGGGAAAAGGAACTCTTCTGCACTGTTGGTGGGAGTGTGGACTGGTGCAACCACTGTGGAGATCAGTATGGAAATTCCTCAAAAAGCTAGGACTGGAAGTCCCATTTGACCCAGATATTCTACTTCTAGGCATATTCCCAGAAGAACTACAAACATCATACCACAGTGATGGATGTGCACCCATGTTTATAGCAGCACAATTTGTATAGCCAGATCTTGGAAACAACCTAAATGTCTATCAACTGATGAATGAATAAAAAAAGATGTGGTATTTTTATACAATGGAGTACTACTCTGCTATAAAGAATGATCACACACTTCTGGAAGAACATGGCAGATAGATAGCAGCAGCTACGGAGGCTTTCTGAGATACCCCACTTAGAACCCAGGAATGCTGCAGTACAAGGAATCCTAAGCAAGGGGAGATACACCCTACCAACCCAGGAATGAACTAAGCTAAGAGAAACCAACTGGAAACCCAATCCTGGTGCTATAACAGGAACAGATAAAATCTCAGTGCAGAAGCTAGAACCCGCGCCACTGGAAGCCGCGATTTGAATTTCCTGCTGCCACTGCTGCGTCCAAATCTGCAGGGCAGGGAGAGACACACGCAAAAGCTCTGAGAGTGGGAATCTGTGAACGGAGTTGAGAGCAGGACTAGCAGGGAGCCCTACATCAACTTGCAGTGAGTGAGCGGATTGGGGACCCTTTCACAGAGTAGGAGACTCCAGCAAAGGACATACTGGGACCAGGGAGACTTGCCGGAACAGGGCACTGCAGTGACTTCAGTCACATATTC